CCGTTCTCCTATAGTATACCGAGCATTAGAAATCACCGTCCGAGAATGGAACAGGACAATGCCTCCTTACCATTGACGAGCTTGGTGGATACCTAGGATCTCTACAACCCGCATAGCCTTTGGCGTGTTTTTGGGACCAAAGGCACCTAAACATAGCCCGTTAGTAGCCGCACTGTGCGCGAGATTACTGTGAGGTTTTACGTACCGGCCGGGTCATCAATGCTCGCTTTCAATAGTCTTACCAGATCTTCATCGCGGAATCTCCCATCCTCGCCTCTTTCGATGCCGCCAAAGTTACGTTGGCTAGGGTCCATGGGAATTAGGGATTCGAACTGTGCAATAGCCCGCATACCGTCTTTTAGAGTTAATTCCTCCAAAGGCTTTCCGGTGCTTTTGAATATTTCTCCAAAGAATTCATCTAACCATTTTTCATCCCCTAAGGAGATACAGGAATGGAAACGGTACAAGAGGTTGAATTCGGTCGTGACTTGGTTGCCAATGCCTCTTTCGGGGCCGGATTTTACCAGCGAAGCTGGGATATCCACACGTGGGTCCAAGGTCCATGAGCTGTCAGAATGATGTGTATTGGTAATTGCACGAAGATAGTCATGAAGACTTATGTTAATATACAATCCGCCAACAATCCTGCAACCTCATTAGCATATATTGTGGATTTCACATGATCTGATAAACGTACAATCTGGCAGTCTGGAATAAGTCCTCGTCCAACTGGGCAAGCGAAGCTTCATCGTCTCCCTTAGGGGTGAAACGTCCGCCTTCGTTGATTAGAAGCAGGGTCTCCGCCACATAATTATGAAACCGGCTGTAAAGGACTAGGAGGACGTTGGCACCAGGAGACTGCGCAATTAATCTCTCATCGTGGAAGGTGTCGGGTTTAAGGAATCCATTTTTCATGGTCCTGACCTTCAGTTGGTCCTTCAGGCTAGATCCATACAGCGGCGAAAGGTCGAGGTAGGAAGAATTGTTGTTGATATTCATGTCACGTCGATCGGTTCGAAATATATCTAAACGCAGTGAGCAGCTATCCATGGCCATGATAACATCTTTGCCTGCCATTGTCGGTCTTTTGCCTTACCATGGATAATAAGGGCAGCATGATGGAACAGTAGAGATGAGATGCCTCCCTCGTTCTGTTTAAATTTACCATCCTCCCGTTTCATGAGAACTGTTTCTCAAATGTCAGACTCCGCTTTCTAAGTGGATACTATCTCTCAACCTACGGTCAAAGAGTAATCCCGGGTCTGGTCGAACACCAGGTAGCTTGGTGTCACTTCGGATTGACCTTGCGTATGGCATACCCGCCTTTCCTAGGTTTGGGAAGTGTACATTCTGGCGACGATGTTAGTTACCGTTAACACATGCTGTGCGTGCTTTGCCACCATCTGGACTCACGTTATAGCTCCCGTCTGGAGTACGGTAGTAGAATTTTGGTCCCTGGAAGTTGATTGGAGGGTGTTCAAGACTGTCCCACAGCCTCGTGATCAGGATATTTGTCAATTTAATACGATGTTTGGAGTTTGGCGGCAATGCTCCAACTATTGCAATGATGTTTTCCATCTAGTTATCATAAGATTAGTCAACGAACATGAAAAACTCTGCTGGAATATTACCTACTGCAAGCAATCTGTCATTCATCGGTTTCCCTTTGACGGTATCCTTGACGAACTTCACCACATCACCGACTCGCTTCAGATCCATATTCTTCGGGGGGTGTTTCATGATTGTTAGGATGAGGGAGCTACTGTCAATTCCTGTTCCATCATCATCCTTCTTCTTTACAATACCATCAGCACCTATAGTTTTCGGAGCGACGATCTCCCGGATATCGTGGCCATATCGATATACGGCAAAGCCCACTGCTGCTACCACGGCAGTGACTGTCCAATAGTACTCTGCCATTCTTCTTCTCTTTGAGATCAGAAAGAATAGAAAGAGTAATGAATGGTTCACTTGAAGCTTTGAAACCAGGACCAGTGGGGGATACACTCAGATAAATATATTAGGAGGGGATCATACCTGTGCCAAGACCTTACAGCCCCTCAAATCATGAGTTTTTCACTCCATCAGAGAGAGAGCGGGTGTGTTGTCTTGGAAAACTCAATATTGACAATAAATTGATCCACATTATATGGAAATTTAGTAAAGGTACTACATACAGCGCATGCAGTCGCAGACCTCGAGCACAGGAAATCCTTTCAGCTAGCCACGAGAAAAGCAATTGTGGCAGCTTTTCGTGGTCTAGCTCTCGCATTTTGGGTTGATCTAGAAGTTTAGTCTGCATACGCGGGACGTCTCTGCGCCAATCATGGACCCAGCAGGGGAAATCCCGCAGGCGATTTCGGGATTGTCTACGGAGTACGGAGTACGTACTGCGTAGTTATCGGTTTCCAATTCAGAGCCGAGCGTCCGGTGCAATTGATGTATATCATCTATTGGCGTCAGACTCGGGCGTGTTGATTTCTGCACTTGACGTCGCATACACTTACACACACAAAATACCTTATTTTTCGTCACCACGCACTCATTATTGGGACTTTACTTCTCGTCGGGAGACGATGTCAGCTGCCCACCAGTGTACATTACAGTGTATCCATACCAAAGGGCCTGCAATGCTGATCGAAGCTTAAGCCATCCCAGCGCAATCACCGTGGTGTCCGATTGCTATTGGGGCAATCGATTGACCGAAATTTGGATAGGGGTATATTGTTGCCCGATGGTGTATTTAGGATTCTTTTGTGTGCGAAATGTTGGAGTTGAATATGTCGTTAGTATCCCTGTTCGGGGCTATTGTTCTCTGCAGCCTGTTTTAGTGGATATGCAAGAGCATGAGTTGGGATATTTTATTGCCGCCATCACAAAATTGTCAGCTCCTGCATTTAGTATAAACATTCCGCTTGCTGATCGAAAGGCTAGTGATATTTGCCACTCGACTTTGAAAAATATCTCCCACTCCGCCTACTCAACTTTGCAAACACTATTGCCCTTCTCTTGACAGTTATTCGACTTTACTTCTCGTTCCCTTGGGTTAACCCTTTCAATCATGGGCCCGTTCAACACAAATCGTGAGAATCGAAGTGATGCACCGCGTCGGCTTGTCCTTTGCTTTGACGGCACTGGGAACAGCTTTCAGGCGAACGAGTCAGATACAAATGTCGTTAAAATATACGATATGTTGAATCGTTTTGACAAGAACCAGTTCCATTACTATCAGCGTTAGTATATCCATACACCCCAACCTCCAATACACACATTTTGTCCTGTCGATCCTTACGAAATAAATAAGCGCTGATATTCATTCTCTTCTCCTAGCCGGAATTGGCACGTTTGATATTGGCTCAAGTCACTCGGGGACAACATTCATAGAGCGAGTAAGAACCAGTATTGGAGCGATGATGGACCAAGCTATCGGCACCACCTTCGAATACCACGTATCTGCTGGTTACAAATTCTTGATGAGATTTTACTCCCCTGGTGATGCAATATACATCTTCGGATTCTCTCGTGGGGCATATACTGCGAGGTTCCTGGCGGAGATGATCAACGTCATAGGCCTCCTGTCCCAGGGAAATGAAGATATGATTCGCTTTGCTTTCCAATCCTTCAGCGAAGTTCAACGGAATCGGGGCAAGATTAACAAGAGCACGAAAGAGGTTGAGCAGGAACGATACCTTGAACACTTCAAGCGAACCTTTTGTCGTCGCAATGTTAAGGTTTATTTCCTGGGTCTTTTTGACTGTGTGAACAGTGTCGGGCAATTTGAAGTTCCTTTCCGGCGACAATCATACCGCTATATTGCAACGGTAAAAATAACCGCTTCCCTCAACCGTGTGATTTCTTTACTGTCCTTGCATTTTTAACATGAAATCAAGCCCCCTGCAGTTCACATCCGTCATGCAGTTTCCATTCACGAACGCCGGCTCAAGTTCAAACCAGCACTTTTCCTATTCGAGAAGGAACATCAAGATTCTGACATCCAGGAAGTATGGTTTGCAGGAAATCACTGCGATGTTGGCGGAGGGTTTCACTACGAAGGCCCTGGGAAGCATCTTCTGTCCGATATCCCGTTGGCATGGATGGTCGACCAAGTCAACTCCCTCGATGATCAACCTGCCGGCAAACTAGCATTTGACCAGGAGACCATTATTAGAAGAGGCCACATGAAGGCAGGCCGTACACCTATGCTACTACCAACCCACGGCCTATCTTCCCATACTCCACGGGAATCTATTCTAAGAGAACGGAGACCGCACGACTTCCTAACCTTCGACCGTGGCGTAACACGCTTCGCAACGTTAATGTGGTGGATTCTAGGTACGTTCAAACCCTGATCGATTTAAATGCTACATTATTCCCGATATCCTATCATATCGGGTCGCTAACCGTACTCCCCTACTACATACAGAAATCCTCCCTCTTTTCACCCGCCTGGAACTCGAACACGGAGAATGGATCCCACGCTACTGGCCTCCGAATCTCGGGGCCACCCGTGACATACCCCGGGATGCCAAAATTCATGCTTCCGTAGCACAGATGTATAAGGCCGGTGTACTTACCGAAATGCCTCGGCTTGGTGGTGACCTACCTCCCTTTCTAGAGGATCCAATAATGCTTATACAGTCATTACCTTTTTTACTCTTTCACCTGCTGAAGCCGTGGAACTGGACCTACCGCTGGAGGAAACACAAACCAATTGCTCCAAAGACGCAAGAGGCCATCAAAAAGAAAGTAACAAGGGTGGTAGAATCGCATGGAGCTCGATCATGGAGTTGGACCTATTGAGGCTGGGTTTGCCCCTAGTGCGCATGCACTGAGAAGACGTAAAGCCCTTACCATCTAATCGAGCTAGTTTCTTTCTATCTATTCCTCATTAACCCTGTGGTCAATATTCCAATAATGTGGATATTTTCTTTGAACAAATGTCTTTTCCTTCGTTCCTGCAAGCTACTTAGGCTCAAAAATGAGGTTGAGATTTAGGTGTTTTTGACTAAACTCTAACCGTTAGCATAGCGGGTCACTCCTTGGGTCAAGCAGTAGTTACGCAGTATATTTGTAACACCCGTTTGAGCGTGGCTGAAATATTCTGGTTGGGATTTTAATGCCGAGTAACTTTTGTGGGAATCATCCGTGTTTTCACTTTTTCTTAGCAGCCATAGGACCTTGACGATAAGGTTCGATATACCTTTTTGTTGGTTTAGTATAAAAATGCACCCTTGAGATAGGCCCGTCACGATGGTCGAGCAATAGCGGTGTAATTCCGTGGCTTGTGGGTTTGCTGGCGACCCCGCACATCTAGAAACTTGGATGCGAGGAACCGAATGTCGTCGTTGAACAAGTAACCCAATGTGATAAAGGGATAGATTGCTGCATAATGACCAAATGCTAGCTTTCGTTGGGTGGTTTCCCAATGAAATCTCCTCCCTTCGAAATTAACTCTGCTGACAACACAACGAAACAGACACATCTGAAGTGTAAAGTTGGAGGTTTTTGATTGAATACCTGGGAGCGAATGATATTTTGAAAACTTTGGTGAGGTTAGGGTGTATAGTAGGGTTTTTAGGGTTTGTCTACGGGTTGTATGGCGACTTTAATACGATATATAGTTGTATAAATTCTTTCCCTTTCTTGTACGCTGAAATTTCGATTTCCGGTGCTTCAGGCTCTGGTTCGATCTCTGTTTCTATCGAAAGTACGCGGTACTAAGCGCCGAAGGTGGGTGATAGGATACTCGGGATTCGTGTAGTGCTTGCTCTATTTTGAAGCAATTCACCTAGCATAACCAACCAACAACTCTCTTCTTCCCCCTGTGCGTGCCATTTAAACATCTGCGGAAAAAATGAATCAATCAATCACACCGTTGTAACTCGTCTCCGGGAGCTCCCCCCTAGTCATCCCCAATCAATGTAAGTGACGTTCAAGCCACTGAAGATCCTCTGATCGACAGAATCACAATTAGCTCTTTTCTTGGCACTTTGCAAGGAGGGTCGGAGTTCGCGCAACCACGTAGCTGGTGAGGAATTGCCGGATTGGATGCCCACGGACCATCCACGTCTGATAGCTATGCTATGGTACCTATCCGAGCCAAGGTGCGACCAGCGCTGGTAACGGCGTTGGGAGGCCTTTCTAATAGCCTGAGCAAAATACTCGATTGAGCTCCGCTATGGAGTACGAAAGCCTTTCCTTTGTAGATCTTGCTCAATTTCCAGATGAAGTAGATGTCTGGCCTTGGGGTGGACAAGTACCTGAGAAGATCCTATATTGTTGTGGGGCGCCGTGCGTAGGTATCTTTAAGGCTACTTCGTTGACGGCATCGTTCTCCTTGGTGCAATGCTCCCATCCTGCCTATATCGCTCTCTGCCCGTTAGCGTTCCTTACCAAAACGACAGCCACAATGTCCCACATATATCATGGACGGAGAGTGAAATCAACCTCTATAGCTTTTATATTTCTTCTCGTACGGCTTTGATTTGTTTTTGCGTGCGCTTTTCCTTCTAGGCTCAACCAACGACACACATACCAGAGATGGGGATATCGCGAGTAATGATGGCGGCCGTGACTGTGGCATCCGTCGTGAGCTTTAGTTCGGTGTATGCAGCAGCGGATTACGCACGATGGCGTCCACCAGGGCCGGGTGACGGTAAGATATTTTGGCCAAAGGTTTTTCTCGGACAATTTTATAATTCTGACAATATTGACAGTCCGTGGGCCATGCCCTGCACTGAACAGCCTTGCAAACCATGGCATACTGCCTCACAATGGCAAGCGAATGACTTATCCGACCTTACTTGAAGGCATATCAGAGGGTTTAAATGTTGGATTTGACCTCACCCTTGTTGCCGGAACTGGAGGGATGATAGGGGCGAAAAACCCGCTTCAGCTTTACTTCAACTTAGACGATCTGGCGAATCACGACTTGTTTGCCGAACACGATGCAAGCTTATCACGAAGTGACATATTCTTTGGCGACAATAACAGCTTCAACGAGACAATCTGGCAGAGCGTTCTCGACTATTTCAGACACGACGAAACCGTAAGCTTTCTAGCAGCTGCTAAGGCTCGGCTAAATCGCATCAAAACAGAAAGAGTACGAAATCCCGACTTTACGTTTAATGCGAAAGATGTCGTCATTAGCTATACTGAAACTGCGCAGTATTTAAGTGTGTTTGGGAACCCTGATACAGGACATCCCCAGGTTGATTGGATCAGGATTTTCTTCGGTGAGTACATGTACGGAGTACTGTACATTTAGAAATCCTAGGCATATGCACCAGTACCTTGTATCAGATCTCTAATTGAAAACATAGAGCAAGAACGGTTGCCATATGATGAGGGATGGGAGCGACCATCTAAACAAACAAACGCGGTAACCCTCGCGCCTTTGGTTGCAAAGCTCATGGTAGCTGGTGGGCAAATTGTTCCAGAGGCAGTATGGATGGTAGAGAACATTTTGTTAAAAATCTTGACGGGTCAGCCCATAGAAGGCTTGATAGGAAGACTCCCATTCATAAATACATAAATAAGGCATAATGGAAAAAGTAAGGAATTTCAAAACCAGTTACGACTGTGCTGGATGGCGGCTCATACTATTGCTCCGTATACATGGCCCTGGTTTCTCGCTGTCGTTTCATGCTTCCCTCCCCTACCTCCAGGAGCGTTGTCTCTTGGGTATATATGAGCATGTATGTAGATGTACATACACCACACGATAGTCTTTAGTGTATCTATAACAAGAATATCATAAATGTTGTGAATCCACTCCCTTGTATGTATATATAGTATGCTAAAGTGGTCGCTGAGGCTGGAGCGGACGAAAGCATGCTCTGCTTAGTCACCAACAAAATCCCGCCTTCTCGCCGCAGGAACAGATCGCGAACGGACAGTGATAGCGACATCGACCGCGCTACAACACCCAAAGCTCCGTTTGGAAGTTTTATCAACCTGACCAGAAATCGCCTCACATTCGCAATGGAAGTCCTTCACAATCCCCCGGAAGCCTCCTCATTTATTCCGCTTGCCGAACACCAATCGCATACCCCAGTATCGTTCTACTCAGGCCCCCCGATCCTGCACCATTTGAGCGAACGATGTAAAATAGTGATTTTAGAAAGGGAATTAAGCAAATCCGCTGCCTTGAGCGGGTTGCGACCAAGTGTGACGGGAGCTGAAGCTGTGAATGGCACTCCAGTTGGTGAAACTTCCGTTTCCGCTACAGCTCCCGCGGCCGCGAGTTCGGATCGGGAGAAAGAGATTGTGATAGATGGGATCGATGTTTGGGTAACATCTGAGTATGGATATACATTCCCCCACGTATATGATATTTCTACGAGGATGTTCGCACCTCTAACGTTGAAACAGGCGCCTACTCCTCTACTCCCAGCCTTCTAAAACCGGTGTCACAATCCCATACCCATCCATCTCCCTGCATGCGATTCAGCGCCTGCAAATACCTAACTCCAATCCCCTCGCGACTCCATCCACTGGAGATGAAAATACTGTGCAGGGGCTATATATACAACTTGCAACAGACAGTAATGACAACCAGGAGGATGAGGACATGGAAGAAGGTAGCATATGTCTAACAATTGTACCTCCGCCTCCGCCTCCCCAACCACAACCACAACCTCAAGCACAAGAACAACAGCAACAGCAACAACAGCAAGAAGACAACCTCATCACTACAGAAGAAGAGGAAAACAAACCCAGCCAAGCCCCAACACAAGACCTCTTTGCCGCCGTCTCAGCCTGCTCGAACCTGCACCCAGACCCACCCTCGCAACCTGGAAGCGACGACGAAGGTGACACGGATATGCAGGATAACCCAACCCAACAACTGGATAGTAGTATCTTGTATCAGAACGGCGTGATCATTCCTGGCAATAACGCTGGCGGCCTACCGCCTGCGATGCCCGGGAGTGGAGGTTGGATTACGGCGGAGAATGTGCATGAGTATTTTGATGAGGAAGGGAATTGGAAAGGGGGGGATGGTAATGAGGGTGAGCAGGGCGAAGGGTCGGGTGGAGTTTCTTTGGGCCCAGGGGCGGGGACGGTTAGGCCTCGTGAGGAAGGGGGTGAGGATAATGCGAGGGTCGGTTGCGAGGCGGATGCGGGTGAGGGTGGGGAGGAGACGAAGTGGAGGAGAACGGGTTGAGTGTTAACTATTGTTTCAAAAAGGAATAATCTGTAAATTTGGATGTTTTATGATATTTTTCTCTTTCATACCTCGAGGTGAGTTTTCTGGCTTATGTATTAGATAATTTACCTTGGTAGGGAGGAAGGTATAGCCATGAAAAGAAGATTAATTGTATTTGTTTGGTTTCAGACAGGGTGTGCTCATCGTGAGAGGCCTACAACGGGTGCAATTAAACATTAAGACAACGATCAACGGCTTCGAGAAATAGACGGGTGAAACAAACAACAATTGCACAGTCCACGCAAATCGAATACAACGGCAAGCAGAAGCGGCACCGTTACCTACAGGAGGAGGAAACGGAAATGATCAAGATCGTATGCACTTACATCTTCCAGCTTCTCCCAGGATCGAAATCAAAAAAAAAAAAAAAAAAAAAAAAAAAAAAGCATACGAGCAAGCTAACACGACATCAAATAGACATCCAGGACAAATTATTGAAGTCAGCGAAATACTACCCCCATTCCCATTAGTAAACATGCCAAACAAGGGACCAACTCACAAAAGGCTAAGCGCGAGAAAAGAAAGCCAACAGGATCAGAACGGAGAAGAGCAACGTATGACAGAGGACCCTAAATGGATATGCACCAAGTAGTAGTTCAAACAATTCCAAATAGAAGACATAACTACCTAGAACCAATAGCAATTAAAATTCAAGAGCGACAACAATAATAACTCATCTTTGCCGTGCACCATATTCCATACCTACCTTACTCTCGCCCATATTTCATCAAGCAGGGCTGTCCATCACCTTCACTCCTTCAAAAATCCAAACTGATCATACATGCTCCCAGGAGTTCTCACAATCGATGAAGTCAGTTGTTCTGCCCCCAATCCAGTTCCTGCTTTCAACGGCGTCGAAACCGGCGGCGCTGCGGATCTTTTCTGTCTGTCAGAAGGTGATTTAGTTCCCTCTTGTTGAATAGAAGATCTAGCTCCAGCTTCCTCTTTTCCCAACTGATGATACTGGGATGGGCTGGGTTTCGGAGTGGGAGTTTCGCTACCATCGTCACATTTAGTGGTAGCATTACCGCCATTCTCCTTGTCACTACCCTCACAACAACCTCCATAAGGCTCATCATGCATCGCGATATTGGAGACAGATTTTATGGTTGTGAGTGCTACTCGAAATTTGGGGGCGCGGGAGCGGGATGGCGGTTGTGACACTTTTGGGATGGGTAGGACAGGCAGGGGTCTTGGCTTCTTCCCCCCTGACGTTTCTTCTTCCAATTCAGAGTTTTCGGGGAGAGCAAAAGCGTTCCTCGTAGGGCGACCGCTTCTATTGAGATTCCTCGCATCTTTGTCCACATTCGCGATATTGTTTGCATGACTCTCGAAAACAGGGAAACTGGATACTGTATGCGTGGACGTGGTTGTCGATGGAGCCGATGCGTGGTGCTCGCTTGTAGGCGTAGTAGTAATAGTAGACGTTACTGATGTGGAGCGCGCAGGTTGGGACTGAGCTTGATGTTGGGATCGTACACTCGTCGACGTGATTCGGCGGAGCGATGAACGACGGGGAATGCCTGGTCTATCATCAGTGAGGCTTTGGGAAGTGTTTAGTACGCTGGAAGGACTTGGTGTCGACAGGTTTTTCGTTTCTACGCCACGGTCAATTGGAGTAGGCGTAGGTTCCCCGCCTTCATCGTCGGCCAAGTTCTGCTCGTCGTTATCAAAAGGGCTTTTAGAATCCTCAGTGGACGGTGGGAGTTCAGAAGATTCATTGATTTGACGGGTCGGGGTAACGGCTTTTGGTGGAGGTGTTGATTTACAAGAACTCTCTTCCAACTCCTCAATAGTTGGCGACAATGAAGTTGGAATGGGGTTTTGTTGACACACGGATAACCTGACACTCTTTCGGCGTTGATGTCCCTTCTTTTCCTCGTCGATAGATATTTTCCGCCGGGTTGATACGCGTGATGAACCAGCAGCACATTGAGCTCGCTTGGATGCACAACCATTGGCGTTTGACAACTGTCGAGTTCCACAATTCTTCCCGTTCTCAGTGATAGGCTTCAATATGGCTGACTGAGAGTGTGGTTGGTCCAACCTACATCCACTTTCATGGATGAAAGACGTGATTGCTTTGTTTGTGGTAGGCAGTTGACCCATTCGATTACTGGTATTAGTTTGAATCCATGGGCCACTCGTGAGTGAACGCGATACTCCGGGCGAAGGGGCATGCAGCTGGCAGATGCTAGTTGGCGACTGGACACCCAAAATGTGAGACGATTTTTCCGGGTAATGCATCGACGCGCTTCGTCTGGGAGAACCGTGATCCTGGACGTTCCTGTATGAGCTAGTAGACGTCGAGCTGTAGCGCCGGGGTGACGTTGCTGGTGGGATACGGGATACCGGTCCGCCTGCGGCAGAGGCTGATAGCCACCACCCACCTGTCGAAGTATACCGTTCATGAGTCCTAGGATAGGGTTCTCTGGCCGTCTCTAAATCAACTGAATCATTCAAGCTCTCCCGGACAGGATCGTCAAGTATAGAGCTGCCTGCAGTGTCCAGACTCTTGTTTGAAAGTAGCATGGAATTTTGTCTGGTCAGATCAGGCACCACAGGCGGACGCAGAGCTGGCAATGGGGGTACATCGTGCTTTGGAGGAGAGCCCGGAACTTGGCGTAGAATCCATTCAGACCGTCTTTTGGATAATTCAGAATCCACCAAATATGGGCCTCCTCGCATTGTTGCAGTAATATCATAGTATGACCCTTTTCTTGTCAGTGGCCATGAAGTGATACGGGCCCCTGCATCCTCATTGGTGGTGTCGTCATGCGGCAGAGGTGGTTTCCTCTTTGGAATGCAGTCTGCCTGAAGCTCTGCGATTGAGCGAGGAGATGAATCAATGTTCGCAACATCCGAGGGGCCTGTATACGAACATGGAGGTGGGACAGACTCGAGAGGTATGTCCCTACTTGATTTCTTGTGCAGGCGACGCGAATTACGCGACGATAATGTCGACATACGCGAAGATCTCCTTTCAGAAGTATGGCAGGGAGCCGGTTCCAGAATAGCCGGAGAAGACACTTGCCCGCGGATATTTTCCGTGGAGCTAATTGCAGACCATTGCCTTGCGCCGGCGTTTGAAAAAGGAAATGTTGAATGGAATAACCCACGCGACTGGGGGTATAAATTGGAATTGGGCCCATTGGAATGGAGGATATTCTTCCGGCGATAGCGTAGGCAAAGGATAGTCACTAGTAAAATAGACAAGAACACAGTAACAGCACAAACAATGGAAATTAACACAACATCACTCAGGAGAGCCATTGAGTTGACACATTCAAGGATTGATTAGCATGAGAAGAGTGTAATGCTGCTTGAGAGTGTGAATCTCAGCAGAGTGTGAAGTTCACAGAATTATGTGAGAAAGTTGAGCTGTGAATAGGGAGAGAAATACCAGACATAGTTATATATATACAAAACCATAGATAAGAAGAAAAGAAGAAAGCACTGAATATTTTGTTTTACTTTTATAACTATTGTCAGACTTATTGTTAGTGTAAGTGAGATATTATCACAGCACTATGAGAGTGTAATAGAGTTCTTATCACATCATGATAAACAAGTCTCAATCACTCACTTGCACTCACTTATTCAGCTTGAAAAACACACTGTTTAATCTCTCAGATAAATGTAATGAGATATGAATAACTGCATATAACTTGTATAGATGAATTTCATGTAATTCACAGCTATTAATATGTTAATAGAGAATAATTATATAGATGAAAAAGATGAATAATACTATAGTAGTATTATAGAGTAAATGTAGAAGCTTTAAGTAAGATATAATTAAATATCAGATATATAAGAGGTTTACACTGAATAAATCAGTATAATATTTATAAATCTTATATAACAAAGTGAAAAATGTTAGAGAAGAAAAGAAAGAGAAAGTGCAGAAATTAGTAATTAAAGTAAATATTTATATATATATACAGTGAAGCTTCAGAGTGAAAGAATAGAAATTTCATGAGTTTTTTAACTAAGAATCAGTGACTGAGAATCAGAGCTTTCAGTAAAATCTGTGAAGTGTAATAAAATAGTTTATATAATTGATTAAATACAGCCTGCTACATTAATTTCTTCTTTTCAGAAGTAATATAAAGCTATAAGTATGTAGTTCTTATCAAGCTACTGTCTCAGATAACACAGAGCTCAGAGTTCAGATTAAGTGATTATAGCTGACTTATTTCACAAGATATTATCAGCTATAGCTGTAGAGTCTCTTATCAAGAATATTCTTCAATCTCTTTTTCAAGTTTATTATCTTCTTTTATAATCTCTGATAATTATCAGTTAAAAGTTAGTTAAAAAGAGAATGAATTAGTAATAACATAGTAAAGTAAGCTTGTATAAAAGATTGTTGATAATTACTACACCTACTCTAGTCACATGTCACTTCAACCTATTTAGTGTAACTTATATAGATAGATTATATACAATATAATAATATTATTCTTTAAGAGATTATAAAGCTCTTTTACAAGCTAAATGAATAATTATAATAACATGCAATTAACATCTTCATGTGTCATTACAAGCATGTCTAGATAATTTATTAAGTAATTAAACTCATGATTAATCTAAGATCTGAGAGAATATCTGACTTAATAAAAGAATACATATCTTTAAGACAGAGAAATCAGAAAATATCAGAGTAGTAAACACAAGATCACAGATCACTGCTAATATTAATAATAAATCAGAAGATAACTTCTGAAGTATTTGAGTAAAATAAAATCATCATAGAGAAACAGTCTGACAAGTTCAATAAATATAAAGATCTGATTGAAGATATCAGTGAGATGCTAGATAATGCAGAAAGCTCAAGTGACTGAAACAACAATAGCTCTGTGAGTGAGAAGACTCACATGAGACTAGAAATTACAAGACTTCAGCATAAAGTCAAGTGAATGAAGACAGACAGAGATGAAAACAAAGAGCTTAGTATAGATTTAATAAACTATCTTTAATAAAAGAGTAGAATATCTGCATTGATGAAGATTCTTAATGAATTCAGAGATTAAGTAAGATCTATAAAGAAGTCTGTTATACTCACTGACTCTGTAAATTATTCTATATAAAAAGAAGAGATTCTGCTCACAGCAAGACAATCTGAAATGAATGACATTCTTAATAATAAGCAGATTAATTCTGATAAGAATGTCAGTATGAATATGCAATATTTTTGATCAGAATGAAATATCTGACTATATAATTACATATAATCTATGATTATCTCATAGGTCAAATCTCACTTTATTATACTCAAGAAGTTTCAACTATCTGCTTATTCTCTATAATCTGTCATAGAGAATAATTTCACTGAGAGGCCTGCTGTCTGCAGAACTCATCTGTTTCAAGAATTGATTAAGATAATATTAAAATCAAAGAGTTCTGATTACACATTTATTGAACATTTAATCATAATTAGAACTGATTATATCTGATTGAAATATAATGTCAAAGATTTCATGTTTTTCAACAGACTTCTTACAGGGGTTAGTAAAGATTGATTATCTTTTATAAAGAATCAAATGAATGTAATAGAGAAGAATGAGAATGCTAGAATACTTGAAGATAATTTCATAAGATTGTGTTAAGATATTCTTTTACAATTATCAGCTACTGATGAATCTCTCATCTCTGATGAAAAGACCTCTGCAAATAATACTCAAGATCTCAACAGAAAGAATAAAAAGAATAAGAAGAAGAAGAAGATCTCTGAGAATAAGAACAAAGATTTTATCAAGCTGAATAGAAAGGGTAATAATACTATCAAAATATGTTATCATTGTCAGAAGATTGATCACATTCAAACAGATTACTGATTGAAATTTTCTGAAAAACATTCTACTAGCTGTGATAAGAATAAGAATAAGGATGAAACAGGCTCAGTGTCAGTTCATAATGTTGTTAAGTAAGTATTTCATACAATAGAAACAGTCTATTCTACTGATCAAACTGATAAAGATATCTGAGTTTTGAACTCTGAATTCAGTGCTTCATGCTACACCTTGCAAGAATCTCATATTGATAGTGTCACAGAAGATTAATATCATATTGAAGATGATTGACAGATTAACAGCTTCTGCAACAGCTATAGAGAAGATGAATATATCAGTTGAAGAAGTAAATCTGCTGCTGCAGAATGTCTGCTACATTCTCAAGCTGAAGATTAATCTTATGAGTTTTGAAAAGCTTGTATGTCAGAGCTATACATATAAGTAACTGATCTATGAAAATACTCATTCAATCTTACTAACCTCTTCTGACAAGATATTGAGTTTTACTGTTAAATTGAGTGATAAGAATATCTATATTCTGAAAAAATAATTCATGACTAGAGACTTGATTCAATTCACAATGTTAAATAATGAATTTGAATCTGTGAAAATTCTACAGTCTGCAGAGAAAAAAGATTCTCTGCTAGCATTGCTTAATAAGAATATCAAGATTGTTAAACATACAATGTTACAATGACATCAAAAGCTTAATCATTTCAATGTCACAGATATTCTCAAATTAGCAGTAGATTCATGACTGAGAATGAGAATTAAGAATAATAGAGCTTTATCATTCTGCAAGACCTGTGTACAGGTAAAAATGACATGTTCAATATTCATATCAATGACAAGAACTATTAAATCTGTGATAAGATTCTTCATGAATCTTGCAGATGATAACTGTACACTATATAATGAAATCAATCTCTCTACTCATGAAGAAGCTAATTATTAAATGAGTATTACAGATAATGTCATATGCTCAGATGAATTATTCTTATAATATCAAAGAGTGAGATCACTGCACATTTAATGATCTTTATTGATGAAATTGAGACTACTACTCAATATTGAATTGGAACTTTACACTGAAATAGCAGAGATGAATTTAAAAGTGATGAATTAAAGATCTACTGTCAGTGAAAAGAAATTATATATGAGATCACTATATCTGATACATCACAGTTCAACAGCTCTGCAGAATATATCAATTGTATTGTAGATAAAAAGATAAGAAGCTTACTATTCAACAGTGAGCTTGTAAGAGAACTTTGAGATGAAGCTATTCAAGCTGTAGTCATAATAATTAACACATTCTCAATATCAATGAAGATTTATAAGTGTCAGAGAGAGTTCTCATTATTTTCTTTTGAAGCTTAGACAGATGTTCAATCTTCTGCTCATTGAATACACAGATGAGAATGTAAGATGTATAAGAAGAATCTAAAGATTATCAATAAGCTTGCAGATAGAACTGACAGTAAGCAATGATAATTAGTTAAATATCAAGAACTATATTAATATTGTATCTAAGACTCTGCAATCTGAAAGCTTGAGATTGTAAGAGATATTATTTTTGATGAAGAATTGACTACAGAAGAAGCACTGATAAATGTTATTAAAGAAGCAGTTAAACTGTCAGAGAAATTGAATATTCTTGACACTATGAAGAAATGATAACACTATCTTCTAAGAAGACTTATAAAGAATAAATCTGATGTTTTAAAGATGCTTACTGATGATGATATGAACAGCACGCTGAAACTGACATATCTACTAGATAATGAGACAGAACTTGTGAATAATGATATGAATGACTCTGTGAATGATGAAGATTCTGTACTTAGTGTTCTTAATAACTGTTCAATCACACTGGCAGAGGTCAAAAGAAGCCATGACTGAGAACATTGACACCAGGCAATGAAGAAGGAAGTGAAAACCTTTGAATGAAAGAAGATATATATTATTGTTGAAAAGGCCTCAGAAATGAACTTTCTTACAGATAAATAAGTGTACAATTGAAAATTGAATAATAAGAATGAAATTATTCACTTTAGAGCTTATTAAGTGATTAGAGATTTCCTACAATAACAAGATGTTCATTATAATAAGTTATATACAGTAGTGATGTCTGAATCTATATTGCAGAGCTTATTCACTATATTAATAGCAAGAGATTGAAAAGTCAGATTGATTAACTATGTATCTGTGTTTTTGAATAAGGTATTGCCTCAAAATGAGATGATATTTATACAACTATTCACAGGGATCAAGCACAGTCATGGTGAATTAGTAGAGCTTGTATATCAGAGCTTATACAGAATGAAACAGACAGTAAGAACATGGTATTTTCTTATAATAGAATACTTGATGAATCTAGAATTTAAGATCTCATCTTACAACAGTGAATTTCTTTATTATTTAAATTACAAGTTATTCTTGATACTACATATCAATAACTGTTGAATCACAGAGTCTGAAGAGAGTGAAATTGAGTAGATTTTAATGAAAATCAGGAAAAGATTCAAGACAAAAGAAGTTGAACAGAATAAATCTTATCTGAGAATAAAGATTAAATACTGAGATGAAAATCTAGCAGTTACACAGAGCTGTTATGTTGAAGAAATATTGAAAGATTTTGAAATGAATAAGGTTAATTCTGTGAGAACCTCAATGATGACAGGTATATGACTGGAATTTTCACCTGATAAGAATGATGAATTGAATGATAACTTTACAGTTATAAGATATCATCAAGAATTGAAATCATTACAGTATTTGATCTCAAGCAGCTGATCAGATCTGGTGTTCACAGTTAACTATCTCTCATGTTTTAACTCATGTCTGTACAAGACATGTTGAGCAGTGTTGAAGCATGTTCTACATTATGTCAAGAAGATGAAAAATCATGGTATATTATATAAGAAGAAGATAGAAGATAATCTGAGTCCTGTAATATACTGCAATTCAGACTGAGTGAGGGCAGATTCTCAATACAAATCAACTATCAGCTACATTATATTGATTAATGAGTCATCAATCTCATAGCAGTTACAGAGACAGACATTTATTATTAAATCAATCACAGAAGCTGAGTATATTACAGCTAGTAAGACAGCTTATGAGATAATCTGGTTAAATAATATATTATATGACATCAGATTGATGAATGATGGAAAAGTGAAAATATACTCACATCTATAAGTTGATAATAAGAGAGCAATTGATCTAGCAAAGAGAGAATTCTTAATATAAAGATCACATCATATTGAGATTAAATATCATATTCTTCATAATTTGATTGAAAAAGGGAAAATCATGATGAAACATGTTGATTCTACAGTGAACATAGCTGATGAGCTCACCAAGTCACTGATAAAGCCTGTGTTTGAAGATTTTATCAAAAGAATTGATTTGAAAGAGATCAGAAAGAAATGATTGAATAATAATAATAATACTGTAAATCAGTGGATTTTGAATGTATTTCTTGATTTTTACAGTTATTACTGTACAGATGCTTTTTCTAATAAGAAAATCAGAGTCTGATTCATGTAATTAATTATTATTGCATTTTTGAAAGATTTGAGAATGAGAGAAGCCCCGGGTGGCCGCTTATTACAGGTCACAGTGTAGTAAGAAAGAGTGTTGATGATTACTACATCTACTCTAGTCACGTGTCATCTCAATCTATTTAGTGTAACTCGCGTAGATAGATTACACACAATACAACAATATTATTCTCTAAGAAAGATATTATAAATTTCTGATAATATATTAAGATAGTAGTTATAACTGTCTAGAACTTCTATCATTTTATACTTTATATAATAATAATTCAGTGTGTAAGATAAGTATATAATCTGTATATTTTTAAGATTCAATTATATTAAATCTTCTATCTTATATTACTCAGTGAGATCTCAGTGAATATTAATTCAGTTCTCTTAATCTTGTTTAGTACTTGTTATAGAGGCTTTTACTAAGTCATAAGTATTTCAGAGCTTTATTACTATATTATCAGTAATCTGAATTGAACTGTAAGAGTTTAATGTAAACTGTGTAATCTCTAGAAGATTCAACACTTTTATATAATAACTATGTATAAGAAAGAACAGGCTTATATCTGTTGAAACAGTATCTTAATCATTGATAGTAATCTCTGTGTATAGAAGAAGATTATATTAATCATCTTATAAATAATTACAGAACTTATAAAGATAATTCTTTATAGTCTGAATTATTCATTCTGATGCATTATCAGTTTCAGAGTAATAGACAGTTAATAAACAGTATATAATCTTGAGAACTTGACAGATTCTTGTTCAGAGAGTACTTATAAATTAACAGTCTTAATTCAATACTATAGATCTCAGTAATTCATACATTTAATAGAACAGGCTCTGTAGAAAGACTTCAGTGACTTATTCAGTATTTATTCTATTACAAGATTCTAATATTACATCTTTACTTAATCAGTTCATAATAATCAGAATGTTTCTACAATTCTTACTCTCAGAGAGATTAATAGTAAAGTTAATTATCACATCTTATCAGATTCTATCAGAGATATTAAGTGATTTCAGCAGGTCTTTTCTACAATTCTTTTATAAAGTGATAGAGAAATAATAGTTATAGTTTCAGACAAAGCATCTGATACTATTTAATATCTCAGATCAGTAGAATTCTCCAGAGATTATTTAATACAGTTATTTATGATTTGAATAACTGATTATATATGAATTATACATCTCTTATATTATTCAGATGTGTAGAGATTCAGACTGAGAGATCTAATATTATTCACAGAATCACAGAGTATTATTATCATTGATTGAATATTCTGAGATATTACTCTTTATATATAGTTCTGAAGACAATCAAGACACTTCTTATTATACTACTTCAGTGAGGGTCTGAAGAAGTTTATCAGCTCAGACTGTTATATATCACAGTTCATTCAGTATGAGAGAAGTTAAGATATTGATATCAGTGTCAGTGACAGTTCAGAGAGAGAGTATTCTAATCAGAGAAGTATATATAGTGTCATGAGTTATTTTATCTTAATTAACTAATATCTTCAGATCTAAGAGTCAGTGTTCTCAGTTCATTCAATAGATATCTATTATATTGAAAGATATATCTTACTCTTATTATAAGAGAGCATCTGTCATTGAGTTCTGACTGCTGAGATGATAGTGTATAGTGAAATGAAAACAGCTTAATAACTCAGATTACTGCATCTGACATTCAGTAAACTTATAGATGATTGTGAAATACTTGAGATTCTTATAATCTGAGATTATCTTAAATTTAAAGACACTTTGAAGTTCAGAGTCTCATTCTTCTAGACAGTGTATAATTATAAGAAGTTTTTTATCATAGATCTCATAATTATATTCAGTAGAACTCAGTTTCTTAGACATGAAGATGCATAATTATAAGATACTTTTATTATTATATTGTAATATAGCTTCTTTTATAACATAGTCAGAGAAATCAGCTTCAATAACTATCTCATGATCAGAATTAAATGTTATCAGTAAAGAGATATTAATGAATATCTTCTTTATCTGTGTGAATACAGCTTCAGT